CCGCGAGGCACCGCGAGAAGCTCGACAACACCGGGTCCTCGAGGGGAGTACCCCCGAAATCGCCGGCTACTTCGCCCCACACGAGCTTCTTCCATTTGATACCGCAGAGGTCCGTCTACCAATGAAATGATAATAAAATCATCTGTTAGTTATCTTTACAATTTTAACTAGTTTTTTTGTATATAAAATTTATCTTATATATCTCATTACAGATTATTTTGATTATATTCGATTTTTTAAATTGATTTTATGAATTTTTTTGAATATATTTGTTTGCAATAACAATAATGAAAGTTATATTCAATATAAATTGAATAAGATGTTTTAATTATAAATTTTAATAAAAAAAGAATGCATGAGATGAATATCATAAGTGTTTTCATATTGTATCAATCAATGTTATGTCCATCATTATACATCAAATTATACTGTTATTTATTGATGAAGTGAATATATTTGCTAATTAAAAAATTAAAATTATTAATTTATTAAAATATAATCTAATTACGAAAAAGAAATATCTTTTTTTTATTATGTCGAATATTGAACAAAAATGGATTTATTGACATTTTTATATCATTAATTGTTTTATATTGAATATTATATTTATATTTTATAATGAAATTTATTAAATCAAATAAATATTTATAGTGAAAAATATATTTTAAATTAATATTTTTGATTATAAATTAGAATAATTAAAATATTGTTATCATTAGATACATATTAACAATTATTATTTATGTATTAACAATAATTAAATATGTAATTCATATGAATAATATGACACTTGCGCAAACTTCCCCAATTAGCGAAGATAAATTAGAGATTATAGGGAATATATCGGAACATTGGTTGACTGTTGAGAAAGGTCGGTCCTTGAACTTTCGCCGCATTCTATTTCCATTTGTCACGCAACGTAACAAATCGTTGATTTAACCGTGAACAATAAGATTCTCCTTTAATGTACACATATAAGTACATATCGAATATGAATTTAAAAATATATTGCAAATATAACAAATAATAATAATGAAATTATATCAAAATCATCTATTAAAGGATATTAGATAAAAAATGAAAAACGATGAATAAAGCATAAATATTTACATAAATATTCACAGTCAAATGTATAACTTATATTAAGTTTGTATTAAATTTTCCGAAAATATTAATGAACTTGTATTGTCTGATAGGAATAAAAAAAATGATAAATAATACATTAGTTAACATTTAATTATATTTAAGATCGATATTTAAAATAAAATGTCTTATCATTGATAATCAGAGTTCATTCACCCTAATCCGATAACTAATATACCTGATTCATACATTTTTTATTGACTTACATGTATATGATTAGTTAATGTTTTTATAAATTACTGATATTCAATTTACACAGTTAATATACAATTATATACATTTACATTAAATATATTATTATAATTGGCGCATGCGTGGCGCGTATTTATAAATTAATTACATTCAATAATACAACAACAAAAATAATTATATAAGTATTTTACATATAAAATTATTTTATATTGAAACAATTTTATATATTATATAATTTCATTTATATTTAAAATTTATTATAATTTAAATATATTAAATATATTGTAAGTAACATTTTCTTTTTATTTCAAGCATTAGAAATTATTAAATGGATTAATATTATTATAATTGTTAAAATACACAATTAACATATTTAAAAGAATACAATTTATAAATCTTTTATATATTTTATTAATTATTATTTAAAAGTCTTAATTGGATATTATGTTTTGATAAAATTTAATTTATTTAAAAATTTTAGATTGTTTTAGATTGTTATTATTTATTTAGTAATTATGTGTCATCATTTTTGATATATCAACACAAAACGAAAAAGAATTTCTTACAAAATCTTCTCATTACTTAGTACAATGTATCTATATAAATCGTGACGATCGTAAACATATCTTTTTATCGTGGCGCCACAACGAACTGATAAAGGCACGCGCAGTCGCAAGCAGGTCGCGCGCTTCTCAACCAATCAAATGCGCGCCTTTTCTTACGTCACATTGTCAGCTGACATAATCGGAATAATTCAAATAA